CTACAGCGGAGTTTGAGCAGTGTAACTCTCTATAGAGTATCGAAGCCATTAAAACTCCATTTCAGAGGAATAGTTGCGAAGTGGCGAATACAAGAAACCAATCCTATATAGGGATTCAAAATATCCAACATTTGCAGAAGCAAGAATAGATGTTCAAATTGTGAGAAAGTGGAAGACATCGCACGAGTTTAGTACAACAGAGCAAAGGTTGAGACAGAAGGCCATAGTAGGAATAGTGGCAGTAGATCAAGCCAAGGTTACTGTCCTAATCCTCGAAGGAGAGACTAAAAAACGTAAGATCGGAAACACTGTCTCCAATATGAAGTGAGAGCAGGTGTGGAGGAAATTAGATCCAGTAAAACGGTGGCCTTAGATCAAGAGGGGGCCTGGATAAAATGGGGAAACCTAGAAAAAAAAAAGAAGATTTTCTTGAAAGATCTCTGGTATACTATTTCAAAGCAGTATTTGTTGGGTCACCGCGGTGAGGGAGTATGATGTTGAAAGACCTGAAACCCCTAACGAACCTCTTCTAGAAACATCATTGATGATGTGTCCCTAAGCATCCAATAGATGTATTTTACGAAACTGTTTAGTTCATACGAAAGAAGGATTAAGGTCAGTCAGGACAGAGTTGTTATTATTATTATTATTATTATTATTATTATTATTATTCATTGTTTTCAACTGAATTTATTTGTGGTTGGTACATTTAATGAATTATTTGCAGTGAAGCTGTTATTAATATTTATGCATTTTTTACGTCCTGAGATTTAAGATATCTTAATTTTTTCCACCTATATCTACAAGTGTTTCTGCTGATTCTAGCATCAAGAAAATTGCCAGAGGTTGTTGTGAAAATCCACATCCCGCCAATTCGAAGTTTTGTGATATTAAAATCCTCAAAAGGTCGTCTAAAATTCCGTGATGAATTAGATAATGCCCACTACTACTACTAGTAACAATAATAATAATAATAATAATCTGAAGAAGTATTGATGTCTTTTACGAAATAATAATAATAATAATAATAATAATAATAATATCTGCACGGGAAAATCTGCAACTTCTACGGGAAGGAAACTGAAAGAAAATGGTATGAACACCACCCAGACCCGGTTACAGAGATAGGACCTGTTAAAATTCTATGGGACTACACAATACACACTGACAGAACAATCAAAGCCAACCCAGATATTGTTATTAAAGACCACAAACAAAAAACGGTGCCTCCCTTATTGATATGGCAGTCCCTGCTGACTGCAATGTATATTTGAAGATATTCAAAAAGTTGTCAAAATACAAGGACCTTGAAATAGAAATCTCGAAAATGTGGCATATGGGAACATCAACAATCCCTGTTGTAGTTGGACCCCTAGGAATGTTTGGAAAACATTGCAGTAGACTAATTGAAGGGATTCCTGGAAGTCCATGCCTCAAGGAGATACAAAAAATTGTTCTGACAAGTACAGCCCACACTTTACGAAGGGCTTTATCTATGTAATTTCTTTTTTTTTTTTTTTGGTCACTGGAAAGTGTCATGATGCCATTTGTAACCTTAGGTCCCTGGGCGGGACCCAGAAAGAAATGTGTAAACGCCAGAAATCAAAGAAAATAAGAATAATAATCTGAAGAAGAATTTATGTCTTTTATGAAATAATAATAATAATAATAATAATAATAATAATAATAATAATAATAATAAAGATAGTAATAATAATTTAACACCATGGTGTAGAACTCTTCAAGAAAAGTGAACGACTGCTAGAAAATTAGAACCACTTGCTGTTATTTATTTCTCGATCAAATAAAATATAAAAACGTATAAAATGATAAATATGTAAACAAATTAGAGAAATTTATTGATGAGAGAAAAACAAAACAAAACTAATCCGTCTTGAAGTTGTCAAAACAAATGAGGATTCCCTTGGGTAATGTCATTCGATTGCTTGGATGCTAAAAGAAAAACATATTTATTAAAAATATACAGAAATGGTAATGGTAATATTAGCCGTTTCCTTATAAGGAAACATTCGTTATACTTTGCTCGATCTAATGACGGTTTCCCCTAGGAGACGGAGGTTCGAATCTTTCTGAAGGGCGCATGATTTCTAACAAGGTTTCTCGTATATTCAGGCCGGTATATGTAAATAAATATTTCGTTTAATGCTAATAAAACAGGATCTGTTCAGGTATGATTATCTATTAAAAAATAATGTTTAAACTAATAAATAAAAAATATGTCGGATTTACTCCATATATATATATATATATATATATATATATATATATATATATATATATACCCAAGTATATAATTGGTATATATGGAATGAATTCAATAACCAACAATTACTATTCTTAAAAGGGTGCTCAGTACAAAGTAGAGCAGATAGAATTATTTTTTATAAAAAAATTATAACATAAATATGTTATAACATATTTATGTTATAAATTTTAAAATTTAAAATTTTAAAATTTATTACATAAATATATTATAACATATTTATGTTATAAATTTTTTATAAATTAATTATATATATATATATATATATATATATATATATATATATATATATATATATATATATATATCATTACGGCTGATTTTATATAAAGGAGTTTCATTAAGGCCGATGAATATCAGTAGTAAATAAATCAGTGTTATTGATTAAAAATTATTTATTTCTCTATTGGATAAGATTATTTAAGTCATGGAAATTATGTGTGAAAAATAATATCGTCCAAATATCCGACAAATCTGTAAGAAAAAGAAAAAAAATTTCTTTAGACGGTTAATTTATATTAAAATTGGTCAAACTTATTTGTTTTGATTCATGTCTGTCTAGGCAGAATATTTTTCCACAGAAGGTCATCATTTCTTTCCGGTGGACTCGCTGCCAACACAGACTGCCCTACTACTCAACCCATAGGAGGGGGCGGAAAAGTGATAGATTCATGCTTTTCTTAAGGGTATTTATGCGTAAGTGAACACGAATTCGAACTCCGATTTTACAGTCCGAGCCAATATCATTTACACCTAAAAACACGTGACAAAATATACTACTCCAGAAAATTTGGGGTTGGCCCAATAGATCATAGTGTTTTTTCTTTTTTTCTTTTTTCTGTAGATGGTGTTTCATGATATGATCTCGTTTCCTACGTGACTGAAGTCTATGAGATATATAGATTTCCGGAAATGTAACCGTTTAAGTTTGAAGTGGAGAAAATGAAATTTCGACATTTTTTTTGAAAGAAAACAAATGGGGATATAATCGGGATATGAAACGGACGCGTTTTTCTTTGACATCACTATTATTTTAACTAAAGGATGTTTCATTAAGACGGATTATATATAAGGGTGTTTCATTAAAACGGATCAAAATCTGCAGTAAATAAATCAGTGTCATTGGTGAAAATTTATTTATTTCTCTATTGGATTATGTTATTTAAGTCAAAGAAATTATGTGCGAAAAATAATATCGTTCAAATATGCGCCAAATCTGAAAGAAAAAGAAAACATTAAACATTTAAAATAAATTCACATTTAAAATCGGTCCAAGTTATTGGAACACCCCTTATATATATATATATATATATATATATATATATAGTGGACTCTTTCGCCGCGGATGACAAATGAGGGCTAAGTAAAATAGAAATGTTCTATTATGAACACGCATGCGTCTCCTGAAACCTACATGTGTTTTACTTCTTTTAAACAGATAGAATATGTGTCTGTGGCATTTTACCCAAACGGTTGAGTATCAATTGTCACATGTTTCTTCGAGTGACCAAGACAACAAAGTCTGCTTTAGTACGTGCTACAAAGCCACAGTGGCAGGTAAGACTATCATCGAGAAGAGCAGCATGTTGCCAAATTCCATTTTCACGCAGTTGACCCTGATCTTCAAGTTGGCCTCGTTCTAACTATATATGCATAGTGAGAGATATGTGTGGATAGAAACTAAACAACGATATCTCAGGAACTGTATATGCAATATATACATGTTCCTGAAAAAATCATTTCGTTTGAGATCTCGGGGAGAAAATGGAATTTGTAAACAGTGACTATTACTGCTGCTGATGCAAGACACTTCGTTAAAACGAATCGAATTCTTCTGTCACTGGCGTGTTTATCTAAACATAAATACGTCTAAATTCACCTTCATCCCTGCCGTGGCTTAGGTGTAGAGTCTCCGACTGATAACAATTCCCGGTTTCAAAACCCGGCTTGAAGATGTTTAATCATACTGATGAGCTGTGAATCAGCGAAACAGTCTGTCCCTAGCTGACAATATATATATATATATATATATATATATATATATAGTGGGAACTCCCGTCTATTTTGACGTATGGTAGGTGTAAAACTGAATAACCTAATTACTACTTGGATATAATTATATTAGCGAAGACTAGATAATAGATAACTAGATAGATATAACCAGACTATTCAAAAGAGACAGTTGAAACTACAGCGCACATAATGAGGAAAGTGGACTTCAAGAATTAGATACTCACATGACATATTGAAGGCAAACTGGGCAGAAGGAAATAGCGGGTATCCTGCCTAAAGAATCTGTGTAAATGGATGGCAGAAAAAGAACTGCAATAGAAGGTGTAGATGATAAGAATAAAAACTACAATCGATAGGGAATTGTGTAGAGACATCATCGCTCACGTCCAGAAGGGACAAGGCACATTGAAGAAAAAGTATATCAACGATATCTTCTATGCTCTGTTTAGTTTATTGCGTTTAAATATACATCTAAATTCTCTGGTTGCTTTCTGCATTTCGACTTGCTTACATACGCACAAGTCAGAAGCAAATGCAATCTCCGTTTCAATTCCTTAGAAAACTATGAAAGATGTCAAATATATTTCTTTATAAATTTCGTTATTTTTGAAGTATTCGAACCAAGAAGGTAGGCCAATTGAACCCCGAGGGTAGCACTAAATGGCTTCCGTAAAACGCGCACAAAGCATCATGGGAGATTTATCTAGGCAACAACAGTTACAACAAAAGGGAAACAAGCAAGGTGGATAAGAGGCAGAGGAATGTTGGGGAGAAACGGAATAGAAATGGAAAGGATAAATAAGGGGAAATGGAGAGAGCAAAAGGGAGAGAGGGAGAGAAACAAGTGGAATGAATATAGTAAAAGGTTACAATATTTCTGAGAGTTAAAAAAAAAAGAGATATGAAAAATTACCGACATTAAACCGCAAATATAGCAATCATAAAAGTAAGAAAAATTGAAGAAGCTAAAAAAAATGATCAGATATATTTACAAGAAGAGGATGAAAAAAAGACTGAAAAAGAAGAAAATGAAGAAAAATAATTGTGGATGGATATATCAGAAGAGGAAGACAAAGTATAGGAAAATATGGATAACTATATTATGAAAAGAAGAATTTGGAAATGAAGGAAGCAACACAAGTAACAGAGTGAAGAACAGCAACAACAACAAAAATAAAATTGAAAAGCTAAGCAAAAACGGAATGAAAAACGGTAAAAGTCACAGGAAATACGATGCATAAAAGCAAAGAAACGGTTTTATGAAGAAAGGAAGTTCTAAAGATAATAGAAATCTGGTAGCGTTTATTGATGGCATTCTTGCTGCAAACATCGCAAAGATGGACTGTTTGTGGACGGCACTGGAATGGAGAGAAGCCATGGAAAATCTTACGATACGCCGTCAACTTACTTATCCAATACACATGGCGGATTATCTAGACAAGTAGGTAACGTCTTCAAATCCGTTTGGCAGAGATGGGGAAAAGAGGGAACAGAAGGGTTTTGAAAAAGCAGGATGAGAAAAGGAAATGCAAGAAAGATGAACGAAAAAGAAACAGGAAGTGAAGTAAGAAATAGAAAAAAGAAAGTATGGGAAAAAAAGGGAAAGTTTTGTGTTTAATAAAATGTAGAGAGAAAAAGTGGAAAGGTTAAAGAAAGAGAAGAGAAAATGGGGTAGAACATTTTCAGAAAGGAATAAACAAAGAGAAAGAAAGAAGTTGCAGAATGAAAGGAAAAAAGAGAAGGAAATAATTGAGAAAAGGATAGTGTACATTAAAGGAATGCAAGTAAAGACTAAACGGGAGGTTGTGTTAAAGGAGAGTCAGTCTGCTTAGAGACAATATCTATTGAAGGAGAGTAAAGAAAAGCAGGGAAAATTAGTACGGATGAAAAAGAAGTTGAAATTTTGATCAAAGACAAAGGAGTCTTTATACTGCAAAGCAGCAAATGAAAGTATATTAGAAAGAGTTACAACCAAATATTGAACGATGGAAAAAGGCTAGATAGATAGACAAGATAGCTAGATAGATAGATAGATTGTGAAAAGCCAGAGAGATATTGAAATAGACAAATAGAGAAAGAGATAAATAAAGGAGCGAGTGATAGACAGAAAGATACAAATAAATAGTTACTAACAGGATGAGATAGATAGATAGATAGATAGATAGATAGCGAACAGACTAAGATATGTTCAGATAGCCTAATAGAGTGATGGGGGAAATAATGGAAGTGAGTAAGCTATATAGATAAATAGATCCAAATCGATAAATGAATATAGATTAAGCGAATAAGTTAGCTATTTAGATATGAACAAATTGAGATCGGTAGATAGAGAGATCGATAGATAGATAGATAGATAGATAGATAGATAGATAGATAGATAGATAGATAGATAGATATGAAGAAAGTCAGATAGATATGAAAACATTGAATAAATAGAAACAATGTCATATACAGATAGAAATAAATAAATTAAGTTAGATATATATTCAAAATTGATATGTATATATATCTGTCAATATATATATATATACTGGATACATATATATATATATATCAATATATATATATACTGGATATATATATATATATATATATATATAGAGAGAGAGAGAGAGAGAGATAGATAGAGATAGATATGAACATATTTAGATATTTATATATGAATTATGTGTAGATAGATAGATATGAAGAAGATCAGATAGATATAGGAACACCTTGAGATAGAAACAATTACATAGATAGAAATGAACAGATTGAGAAAGATATATATGTAAATGATATATATATATATATATATATATATATATATATATGTGTGTGTGTGTATAGATAGATAGATATGAAACATATTGATATAGATATTTATATACAAATTGATATATAGATAGATATAAACAAATTGATATATATATATATATATATATATATATATATATATAGAGAGAGAGAGAGAGATATGTAGACAGATAGATAGAATTGGTGTAAATAAAAAGAGTAACCTTTGAAAATGGATAAAAGAAAGAGAATTTAAGATAATGCAAGAAATCGAAAGCCGAAAAATACAACCGTAAAATAAGATGCGATTGAAATAAAAAAAGGGCAGAATAGAACAAGGTATGGAAAGAGAAAGAGTGAAAAGACGACATGAGTTACAAGGCGAAAGAGAGGAAAACGGACGAAAGTATGTAGAACAGTGGAAAGAAAGAGGGAGAGAAAGATTAAAAGATTGTTGGGAAAATCCTTGTTTTCTAAAACAACATTGTAAATGTCCTTGGGCAGGAATAAAAGAAAGCTAATGCTTTTCCCGTCCAATTGTCTGATGGTGTAAACTCTTAAAAACATACGCACAGACATACTAGGCATACGTAGCAGAGAACTTGGCTTACATATACTTAATATTCGGGTGAAAACCTAAAAACGCGAATATAGGTAGTTCTAGTGTTGAACGCGCGCACACACAAACGTCTTGGGATAATAACGCATCCGAATAAGCCTCGATTCACAATGTCCTGATCAACAAAAGAACAAATATCACTTTACAGATAATATCTTGTTCGTACGCATATTCACCAAATAAAGATGGATATATATATACTGATATTTATAGACGATGTTTATTCAGGTAGATATTTGGATATGTCCATGAAAATATATTAAATAAAAACACTGTTCAGCAGAATATTTCAAAAATACAATAACCTCACATATACATCTATGCCATTGTACCCACACACACACGCACACACACACACACACATGTATGTATATAATGTGTGCGTGTGTGTAATATCACGCGTTGAGTGCCGGTGTTAATAAAAAATAGGACTTGATGTAATATAACAAAGCTATAAATTATATATCAATCGATATACATATTTTTTCTCAGAGGTAGATCGACACGGCGTTTCATGGAAAACGTATTCTTCAGGTGCTGAGATAAAACTGACCCTTACATAATTTAAATTTTGTTATATTTAGTTACCGTAACGATGAGGAAGTCCATATTTTATATGGGGATTATTGTTTTGTTTATTTTTTTATTTTGTTTTATTTTTTTTAGGTTTATTTTAAATACAAACTGAAAAAAAAAACTTCGTATGGACACCCACAACATTGTGATAACCAGATATATATTATACCTTTAAATTCCTTGAGGAACATATGGCCGCAAGATATCTTTGCTGTTTCTATAACAGGGTTGTTAGCCCACTGCAAAACCTGGCAGATCAGGTCTTGAATCCAGTGTAGTCATTCTCCTAGAACAGTTGCCACACAAGGCTATAGAACTCGATTTGTCCTGCAATATACTCATGGGGGAAAAGAAGAACAGGATTCAGACCTCTACCAAGGGTATTAGCACGAAAGTGAATGTAATGGATTCAACTGGCATATATATATATATATATATATATATATATATATATATATACATATATATTAATTATTGGGAGGATTTAATAATTATATTTAATTAATTCATAGAGTCTGATAGAAACCTCCACAGAATGCAGGAAGCACTGGACGGCCGTTTCGTCCTATATTTGGGACTCATCAGCAGTGCGCATCCACTACCGAGAATTGAAAACCTGACTGTTAGGTTGTCAAGTGAACACCATACCAACTGTTCCAAAATGGGCCTCGGTGACGAAGAAATTCCAAATCAGACTCAACTTAGCGCCGCTCGCTCACATATTCCGTGGTGGAACTCTACTGAGTTCTCTGTAACCATAGGACTGTGCCCCCTGGAGACACGACTACTCTCACCAAGCCGCTCCAACTGGAGCATTAGAAGCCGGTTCAAGCGATGATATATATTTTGTGTGTGTACATATGAACCCTCTTTTATACAAGTTTCGTTAAAGACAACTGACAATGAACTGCGATTTAGCGTTTCATTCAATTTTTCTTGTTCTTACAGGTTTGTTTTCTATTGTGTAGCGATTATTACAGTTTTTGTTTTAATCTCCTATAATAAATAATATTAAACTGTATTTCTACTATTTTTACTGAAGACTATTTGAAAAATTAAATGTAACAAACAGTGTAGTTATACTCCATTTGCCCTTTTCAACTCACACACCCACCCACACACACACACACACACACACACACACACATATATATATATATATATATATATATATATATATATATATATATATATATATTCAACTAGCAGGATTCTCTCGTTCGCTTTCGTTTCGCGAAGTAAGATATATTCACTACTTGAAATGTTTGAAACAAAAATTTTAAATGAACTTTTCATTCAGAAATTGGCTTGTTATAAAAAGGAAAGTTTTTACAAATAGATGCCATTTTGTTGAAGGCCAAGTAAAATGCAAATATCAAAGACTTTTCTGCACTACATAATACGATATTTTAAAACAACTATTTTTGATATGAAAATCAAAAGAATTCTCGAGTAAAATAATTCAATTGTAGTGATGTGTGATGGCTTTTAAAGTCATGGTTTGTAGTCGTTTGTACAGGTAATAACCTTTCGTGAGGTACCGACCTGATCCGATTATGATAATTATTACTTCTGTAGTGAAAAGGTCATTCAGATTTTCCCACATTGTTTCTGGCATAGTGTTCATTCTAATAAGTAAATTATGTTATGACTTCTGTAGTTAGAGTTGTGGTAGATTTTGCAGTCGATTTTCAACGGTAGCACGACTAGGAGGTTCATGCGCAAAGCAATCTGCAGGTGGCGAGAAGAGACTTACCGTTACATATTTTAAATTTTCATAAACGTATCTGGTTAACGCAATGCTGGCGCAGATTATACGGATTGTAATGTTTTTTTTTATTTTGCATTCGAAATAGACGGGTTTCATATTACGGTGATTGAAAGTTTATATATTTATTATAATATTAGGTTCGAACCTAATACTATATATATATATATATATATATATATATATATATATATATATATAAAAAAATATAGTCTTAAGATATGATATATTTATGGGATAAAGTGCTCAATATAGGGCGTGTGTAAATATAAAAGTGAACATAAAGTCAACACTTAGAAGCGACAGTCTGTTTCATGCAAGATAACATTCGTCAGGCCGCGAGTGCTGTTATTTTTCTCGGCTATTTATATATACGGGTCAGTGGTGCATTGTGGGTAGTCTATTTTGATGGTTATTTTACCGGAAGTCGTTTATTTGTTTGTTTATTTATTTGGGGTATACTGTGATAGAAAAGGAAAAGATCATCAGCCTGCAACAGCCAGTTAAAAACTTGCACACTTTGATTGGAGGAAAAATAGCTATCATTAATTTCCCAGACCCAAATTATTAAATAAACGATCTGAGCACATCTCAAAATGCAGACATGAAAACAATTTTTACGACGTTGCTTAAAAATCGAAAACTAAAAAAATTAAAATAAAATAAATAAAATAAAATAAAAAATAAACAAAATTACAATAAAATAAGCAAAATAAATTAAAACAAAAACATTACGAAACCACACCCGTTAGAATAGGCGATACAAAATAAATAAATAAAAATAAAAAAAACAAAACCAATGAACCCAAATAAATAAAGTAAATAATAAAGTAATTAACAAAACATTATGACTAAAATATTAGTTAGACTATAAAAATCAAACGTAAAATCGGACGAATAAATAGCTATAAATGTTAATATAACGACAAACGAAAAAGAATTACGACGTTACTTAAAAATCGAAAACAGAAAAGTGTAAATAAAAATATACAGTATAATAAATAAATAATAAAAAACAAATAAAAAAATTAAT